TCTAATGTTCTCTCCTTTGTGTTTTGCAGGTTGGGTCTGTGAAGCCTGGAGATTCGACTAGTTCTCCCGAGAATCAATTTCAAGTAGCTCAATCCAGTCCTCTTTCTCAAGGTTAATTCCCTGTTAACTGCTTATAGTTCGTCTCTTAGTTTCACCATGTGGATGAACGAAGATAAACCTGCAGATTTTTTTCTCTGCTCTCATCACAAGTCATTTGATATTAACTTCATTACACTCATGAATACAATTTTTTTTAATGAACTTATGTTGTTCGACATAATGCCTCAATGAGAATTTTTTTTCTGATTATAGTTGTTTTATGAATTAAACTTATTCGTTTATGAGAAGGAAGCTAAGGCGATGCTAAAGATAGAAAATTTGAGGGTCTTGAAACATATTTTAAAGGCCAACGAAGAAAGGAGTGAAGGTCGCTGCCAAGAAAAAGATGGTATGACCTAGATGATTTGTTTTTTTTTTTCTAATTTGTAGTAAGTTTTCGAACATTCAATTATTGTGTGTTTCTATTTTAAATGTTGAGTTTTTTTTTTCCTGTGCTTTGCTTGATTTTGATGCAAACTTGATATTTCGATTAACACTTTTCTGGATGTGAAGGAGTTCGATAAGAGAGCAAGTTTTGGCTTCATTGTTGCCGAATTCAACAGGGACTTGTTATTTTTCAGTCTCAGGAGAAGCTAATTTGAATGTAACTATACCCTTTGACAAGTTTATGCTCTAACTAGCTAGTGTGCAGTTTTTTTTTTAACTTAATTAAACTCCTAACTAGGTACAGAGTGCAAAAATATATTTCTTTTCTTGACCAACCATAATATTTACTTTGCAGGAGGATCGAGCAGAGTTGGAAAACTAGACCAACCATAATTTTTGTTGAATTATCAATCTCAGGCCATGAAAGGTTCTTTCTATGACTTCTAAGTATCTCTAAAAACGTTTGTTGATGCTTCCGAAGAGTTAAAGCTCCTAGATGATAATGGAGAGCTTGGAAATAAACTCATTGTCTGTCATTTATATACTACTTTCTAAGTTTGAGTTTAATTTTCCTAAAGGTCTTGGTTTTGCTCATTTATGTTTGTTTAGTACATACAAGTGAGAAGGAAGGTGTTTAGGAGAAGGAGTTTGCATGTGGCTGCAGGAGCTTAAGTGGTAAGACGTTTTTTCAAGTTTTAAACTCCCTATTAGCTTAATTCTATGGCTATCATGATTATGTCCATGCTAACCAAGTACGTAGTATACATATGTGTATGTTTGGTAGATGTATTCCCATGTGTCGATTTCTTTTTTCATCTTAGTGAATAAGAGTTCTAAGATGGTGTCTTTTGTCTTCTTGTTCTTTTGTCATTTACTTGAAACCTCTTTATTTTACTAGCTTATGGTTCTTGTTTCAGTTGTGTTATCTTAATCATGATGTGACTCAATAGGTCTTCATGAAGTGTCGTCACTCAAAAATCTTTTGTTTCATGTAGCCTATGGACGGGAGTTCTAATAGGAACAATTGATGAGGAGGTGAAATAGATAGAGGGGAAGAAATTGAAGAGATTGAAGTTTGTCTCTTTCCTTATGATGTTAGTATAAGACTTGGTGTTATGTAAGACTTGTTTGACCAATTGGTTAATGTAATATTATTTGTTGATGATTTATAAAATAGAAAAGTTATATATATGTCCAAGTAAATTTTATAAAATTGGATTCCAATATAAAATTTATTTTATAAAATAAATTAATTTATATAACGAAAATATGTTACGACAGTATATAAAACAGCACTAAACGTGTGTAATAACAAAGTATATTATAGCATTCGACTAATGCTATTATACGAAAATGCTATCGTAAGTGGGGGTCTACCGTAGGGTGCTAAAAACTATTGTATGTGGGGGTCTACCATAACATGGGCATAAGACAGCGTTTATGAAAACGCTATTGATGACATATAATAGCTCTTCTCTCTTGCTAATAATGTACATATTTCTTGTAGTGTTGGAAAAAAGAGTTATTGCATGATATAATGACTGCATGCATTATAATGCATAACATGATAATCGAGGATGAACGTGATATCACCGCACCGATTAGAGAAGCAAGATCAGTACCAGAGGCAACCGTGGAAATGGCAATAAACGAAAATACTCGATTTCAACAATTTTTATCTCGTAATCTACAGATTAAAAATAAAGAAACTCATCTAACTCTTCGAAATGCATTGATTGATCATATATGGGAGCATTACAGAAATAATTAGGTTCAATAATTTGGTAATTTAGTTTTAATTTGAGATTTCGTTTGTGTTTTTATTATTATTTTGTGTAATTTTATTTTATAATGTGTATTTTATTAATTAATAATGTTTGTAATATTTTTAATGTATGTTTTATTGTTATTTATAAAAGTTTTATGATTTTATGTAATTATAATCAATAGCAAGGACTATTATGCAAAATACAAATTCTTTTGAAGTTAAATTTGAGGTTTTTCTTTGGAGACACACAACCCTAAACCTCAAATTTGAGGTTTGGCAAACCTCAAATATAAGGTCCCCTTTGGAGATGCTCTAAGAACAAATGGAACCGACTAAACCCAAACATAACGAGTGAAACGCATGTTAAATCATATTTTTGGAGCTTGAAAAATGGCAAAATCCACAAACTATTCAAAAAATGGCAAAATCCACAAATGTCATTATAAAAAAGGGCAAAATCCGTAATTAATTCTTATAACACAGAAATTAATAATTCGAAAAATGTGATTTCTATCCATATTGTGTACCATATTGTGTACAAATATGGCTCTATTCTATATACTAGGGTTTCGCCGGCGCTACG